AGCTTGAGAGGATCTGCAGCGAAATGGTAGAAATTGCAATCCAGGAATGCAAAGTTTGTCAAGTCACACCCATAAAGACTTGAGGTTTTTCTTTTTAAATCAATATGCAATAATTTCTAAAACTCTTGGCTTTGTCATTTGGGGGTATTTAGTGAGGATTGATGAGGGGAAAAAAATAATTCTAATGATTTTTGCATAAGGCTGGAACATAACCAAATGTAAAAAAAAAAAGTTAATGTAAAAAAGTAGTCATGGCACATCATGTCAAGTCACGTACATATTGTGACGATGCCCAACCATGATTCTTTTCCGAAACCTATCCTAACCGGCACTGGTGCTACTGAACCGTTGTATGAGGGTTGGTTCGTATCAAGTCGTGCTGCACGATTAATCTAATCGCAGTTGTAATCGCAATGTCAGGCTGTGCGATTACATAACCACATAAAAGGCTGCGATTTGCGATTCAATGTAAATAAATGTTAACGTGTGTGCCTGTGAACGTGACTACCTCTGCTGTAGTGTGTGGAGTTTGTTGACATTACGCCCACAAGTTATCCTGGTGTGTGCAGTACCTATGTACGTGTTTGACTGTGCATAACATCAGTCTTTTTATAATGTAGGGGAAACACTGAATCAGGCAAGAACACTCATGATACCATTTATGTATTGTATTGTAATCGTAATCGCAAATTGCAATATTGTCCACTCATATCGCAATCGCACATTTTTATCAAATCGTGCAGCTCTAGTATCAAGCACTCTCTACAATCAAAACATATTTTCAAACACGTCTTAATCCCCAATCGCTGCCCTTTCCCAGTTCAAATTACCCTATTTGAACTCACTGGTGTTATACCACATCAAATAAAATTCTCAGACAGAGCTTAACCCCAGGCTTGATATGACTTCCAACATGCTGCACCAGTTTACTTCGCATTTGGTTTGAAGACACCTTTAAGAGTGCTACACAGCCTGAGAGGAAGGGCGCAAAACTTACTCATGTATCAGCACAGACTGCTGACTTGAAAACTAGAATTACTACCTGGCGACTGCATGCCTCTGCAAACCCATCAAGTTGCAGTTTCATAGTTTATATCCATGTCTATGAAAACATGGATACTTTACACACATCTTACCTCCTAATGCACAGGAGATCTATGCAATATGCACAGTTTAAAGGTGGGCACCCAAGATTAGAGTCACCAACTCAGTATCTGACCATCTCTCCATCTGTTCTTGAGATATGATGTTGAATAATGGCCAGAAAAGTGTTTTTGCAGAACATTATGATGTCAGAGTGAAGTTGTCCTTTGTCTTTTTGGATATAAAATGTCATCACTTCACCATTTTATACTATTAGACATTTGTTTGAAATTTTGTAATACTTAGCATAAGAATTCTTGAGTTATGACCAAACTAATATTTTTCAGATATTTTTTGATTGACCTTAACCTTCAACCGCTAAATTCTAATCAATTCATTCTTGAGTCCAAGTGGATGTTTGTGCCAAATTTAAGGAAATTCCCTCAAGGCCTTCTTGAAATATAGCATTTATGAGAATGCAACAAACAAGGTTACAGTGACCTTGACCTTTGACCACCAAATTCTAATCTGTTAATCCTTAATTTAAGTTGGATTTTTGTGCCAAATTTGGTGTTGTTTTTTAAATATCTTGTTCACAAGATATGAGACAGATGGAAGGTCACAGGGACCTTTGACCACTAAAATCAAATTAGTTCATCCTTGAGTCTGAAAAAATATAAATAAATAAATCAAATTGCTCAAGGTGTTCTTAAGATATTGCAGGTGACAGACAACCTGAAAACATAATGTCTCTGGCCACGGCTAATGCCTGCAAGGAGGTATAACTAGTACATAATGTGGATGAAACTATTTACTTCTTTATTACATAATTACATATGTTTCTGTCACATTTTAAAGTTCATTGCAAAAAAAAAGCAGTTCTTATAAAACTGTAGCAAATTTGGGTATTTTAGGTTGTGTTAATCATATGAAACATATACACCCTGTAGAGGCTGAAAAAAGGGGAATGTGCTGTGGAAAAATTGTGTCTCATCTCACTGAACTGGCAAAAATCCTTTCTATAAACTACAGTGTGTGTTTATAATAAAGGAACTCGTCACCCAGTGTAACAGTGTGACTCACTGATGTGTTCTGTAGCAATAATGGAGCTCTATGGCACAGAGGAAGAAGATAAATCAGGCTTTGATACACACACTTGCTAGGAGGGTCAGTTCATTGTTGGTGTGTGTCTGCACATGGGGTTTATTGACAGTCAGAAAAATGTAGAATTTCACACTACTTCACACTAAATATTTCTTCAAGGTTGAAGCTGACACCAATTGACTTCAGTCTGATGTTTTAAGGTGTGTTTTGTGTGTGTGTGTGAGCTCTCTGATGATCCCCTGTAAAGCTTAATGAAAACACTTCGTTTGCAGTCATTACTATGAATGACTGTAATCAGTATCTTCTGTTAGATGACGGTGCCTGATTGTTGTTTATGACTCTTAGTTAATACTTTGGCAAACTCCTGCTCACAGAACATCACTGTTTACTGTTGAGCCTGCTAAATGTTTAAAGAAGCGTCTCAGGTGAGCCAACAGAGCTTTACTCTGTCTCTTATCGCTGCTGCGCTGATTGACAGACGCTTTGTCTGAGGGGTGTGTTTAGACAGAAAGGCCTTTGAGATTGTGTGTGTGTGTGTGTGTGTGTGTGTGTGTGTGTGTGTGTGTGTATTTCACAGCAGTTGCACGCAAAAGTGGTGCCTGAGGAAAGAGAAAGGGAGGTCAAAGTACACTGCAGACCTGTCACCTCTCTTTCTATCTCTCTCCTCATCCTTTCACTCCCTTTACAGTTTGTTTCCTCTGTGGCTTCACAAAGTATACCTTCTCTTTCTCCTTCCGTCCTTTTTGTTCACCCCCTCCTCTTTTCTTCTAGGTGTCCATTTTGTCCTTCTCCACCTTATTATTCTTCCCTTCTTTGTTTCTGCCTCTCTTGTGTCTCTCCTTCCCCGTTCTCCTTTTCTGCCTTTTCATTTTTCTTTCATTCTTTTTTCCTTGCTGCCTTCTTTTTTTCCTCCTCTCATTCATTTTTTGTTTCCTCAGTTTGTCTCCCATTCTCTCCATGCTTTCCATTCACGTATTTCTGTTCTCTCCTTTTCTCTCTTTCCTCTTCGTCTTGGTGTCTTTACAGTCCCCCTTTCCCATCTTTCCCTCCTCTGTCTCCATGCCCTCCACCATCACTGGCGCCCCTGCAGATGGAAGTTGATTTTACACGTTCCAAGAAATAGGAAAGGAACGAGAGAGAGAAAAAAAATTCGTGTCAGCAAAAGATTTATAAGACATAGAAAATCAAGAGCCGGCGATTCTCTCTGCTATGTTTGTGCTCCAGGGTCTTTTCTGTTCTCGCTATAGCGCACTATTTCTATCACTGCCTGATACCCCCCACACCCCAAAACACACATTCAAACACACACTCCTCCCCCCAGGAGTCTGTCAGATGATAAAGAGATGTTGTCAGGGACTGATTATTAGCCTCCCAACTAAAAACAAGTAAAACATCAAACGCACAAAGACCACACGGGGACTTGGCCTTATTTTTTTCCCCTAATTTCTCCTCCATACATCTCTCTCTCTCCCACTCCATCTCTAACTCTCTTCATTTTGTCTCTGTGTCAGCGTCAGAAGAAGCGTGTGTTTTTCGCCTGCTGGGGAGCTATTTGATTTGTTCTGCCGTTTTAGAGCTTATATTGTTTCTGGTGTGTTGTTTTTATTATGACGGCTTTATTCATATCGGTGCCTGTGGCAGCTCGGGTCCCGGTCCTGAGTCACCGGGGAGGGAGATAGGGACGGGGATAGAGCAATAAAGCAAGAAAGAGCTGCATCGGCTCAATACATGGCAGGCAGTATGTGTGCAAATGCATGTGAGTGTGTGAGTGTGTACAGTATGTGTGGCTCTGCTGACGTGGGTGGGAACGCTGAAGTGCAAGACTCAAATTATAACAAAAAGCTTTACCCAATTTTCTTTGCAATCTCTCTGCCTGATCCCTGCATGTACGCACGCACGCGCGCACACAAACACACACATCACACACTTGGCACTTGATGTTCATTAAACAATGAGAGACAAGTGTGTAATTTGTCATTCAGCATGGCTGTAGAATAGGGACGGCGGCAGGGAGAAGAGGATCACTCCATTCATCACCATGATAAAGTTAGACTGATGCATCATATATCAACGCCCCTTCCCCCCTCAGTCATTGTTAGGATGACCCATAGACAGGTGAGTCGCAACCAGTGGGACAAATCATCATCCATCAAAGAGTTCAAAAAACAAACAAATAAACAAAACAAAAAGAACAAGGTCCGACTGCAGCCGTCAGGCATTTCTGTATGTGTGGGGTGTTCAGTCTGCTGTAACACTCAGATCCTTTGTTTGTCCTGTTTGCTGACCCATCATCTGCTTTGACTCCAAAACCATGTAATACACTGTGTGTCTGTGTGTGTGTGTGTTTTTCTCGTTTTTAAAATAGAAAATATCCATAACATTAAAATAACCAATAACCAAAGGAATTGGAGTTTGAACACCCTCATCTTTGCGTAGCTGCTAATGAATATTTTTAGCAGGCTCTGGGTTGTTGGATGTTAATTATTTTGATTGTGTTTCCTATGAAAAGTAGCTATTGGTTGATTTGTGAGTAGCTTTAAATCAAAAACAATCATAAAAGAGATGTTAGTCTGTCCAGCTTTTCCTTATCAACTTAACTAGCTAATCAGTCCCTCCAGGATGTTGTGCTCGCAACAGTTAACACAAATTCAGCCAATCTCTATGAATTCTACGCAACCTTGTAATTTTGTCCAATCACTGCAACTTTACAGCAAATTTGACTATTTAAAACCCTCCTTTCCCCCTTCTCTCTGTTTATCATGAGACTACTGCTGTGCCTGGGACAGAGCATAGACTGTATAAATAATGGACATAGCTACCATGACAGCACCTATTGCTTTGTGGACTGCTGTTATGAAGCCTAGAGTCTGGCATTTCAGCCATCACCTGCTTGGTTTTTTGGAGCCAGAAGTGACAACTGGATAAGAGGTTGGAGCTGTGAAGGAGCGAGGGGTGGACATGACTCATAGACTGTGGAGACGCCTCACAGCCAGTCACTCAAGTGGCCCCACCCTGACATATGTATGCCTTTGGGCCTTAACGAAATGTAAACAGGTGAGTCATATAAAAATTGACCCCCTGTACAGTTGTCATGATTATTGAAATCAGCTATAGAGACCAAAACCATTTTTGTACCAAGCTGTGAACATGTTGGACATTCTAATATGGGGCTCTGTGAGGATTTACTCTGTTTTTCAGCCATGGGGGTTGCTGCTTGAGACACACATACAATGACAGGGTTAACTGTAAACTGTTAACTTTTCACACAGCTAATGTAACCCAATGTTTATTAATGGATTTAAGGACAGAATTGAGCCATTTCCATGTTGATGGGAGATTGCTGGTACCGTTTAAGACTCAGTGTTGGATGTTAGCCACTGCTACTGTGTTAGCTTGTGCTAACTGGGCAAAGAGACAGACAGATAGAGGAGGAGGATTGTAGCAAATGGAGATGGTTTTTCAGTGCTACTTCAATACATTCTAATTCTGTGGGAAACACTGAATGCTCATATCAATAGTCCCTGCATGGCTACTATTTTTTACAGTTTTCACTTGCTCCTGCAATTTCATTGCAAAAAAACAAAACAAAAAAAACACCTAAAAATATTGCAACATGCATCACAAGCCCGCGAAATCCTGGAGGGACTGTCTGAATTCATTAGCATGCAACATTTGTTTTCTCTATGGCAACACAACATGTACCAATGTTTTCAGATTTTCTTTTTCTATGTTGTAATATAACAGAAAGCCAAAAGAGTCCCTCAGTTAAAATAGGCCAAGCTCAATTGGTGAATAAATAAACTAATATGTTGCATATGTTGTGTAAGGTGCTTGCAGCCTGACACGCTATGTTTGTTAGCACTGAAATTCTTTAGAATGGAGAAGTATGTTATGATAAGGTAGTTAATGCACTGTGTGTGCAGAATGGGAAAAAGAGGAAAAGACAGTTGTTATGACTGGGAGAGTTCACACATTATTCTAATGCTGCATTTCCACTGCACGGTACGACACGGCTCTACCCTACTCGACTTGCCTTTTTTTGGTTTTCCATTAGCAAAAGTTGTGGATACTACCTGGTACTTTTTTGGTCGAGGTTCCAGCTGAAACCAAAGGGTGGAGTTAAAACACTGCAGTCCACCAATTGGTCAGAGAGAATCATCAATGGTGCCACATGGGACATCTTACTCAAACCTGCCACTTTAGCCAAGCTACCATCATTAGCTGCCGAAGGCCTACACCACATTGTACAGTTGACGAAGCGCAGATATCCCCGTGTTGCCAATCAAAAGGGTTCGGCAACTTGAAGAGGATGACATGGCAGTTTCCTATGATGCCCCTATGGCGATCAGCTGATACTGAGGGGATGCTACCCACGGTGAAAAACATAACAGAGAAAAGGACCAGGTACCAAAAGTAAGCTGAGTCAAGTCAAGTCCAGCTGAACTATGCAGTGGGAATGAAGCACCAGTAGGTTCCCTCTAATTACATTGTTTGCACACTAGATGGATGGAAATGTAGCCTAACTAGTTTACTACTTTTATTATGGTACATGGTTTATTTGTAGCCTTTTATTAACAAGTTAAACCAACTGTGAGTTAGTTATGCAGCTCTTTTTTGAATAGTTTATAATCTAAATATAATGTATTTTATTGTGCTGAACTGCCAGCGAGTGCAGACATTTTGGCACCAGTTTGTGGACACTTGGTTGTTTCTTTTTGGCAACTGGGAGGTATCATTGCTGTCAGAAGTGTATATTCACCACTGATGATTAAAATTAGGACTCAGCTGCTTGCAATTACTTTCTGTTCGGTATGACAAGCCAATATTTCATGCTACTAACACACCTTTGTGTGCCAATAACCGAGCAAGCCACTTAAATTAACATGTTTTTTCGGGACCTACGACAGCAACAGATACATTGGCAGCATGTGAACACCTACCACACTTAGGTCTTTTGTGCTCCCAGGACATTAATACACCACTGCAGCGGCAGTCAGACCATGTTGAACAAAGTGCCGTTTTCAAAGGAGGAAAGGAAGGAAGCAAGGACAGAGGTGAGGAATCAAGGGGATGCTACTGACAAACGTGAAGTCCATTTCTTCACTGTCTCCTAGAATTTTACAGCGATCAGTCCAGGAGTGTTGGCAGGTCCATCATATGTGAGTGTGCATGTATGTGTGTGTGTGTGTGTGTCTTCTCTATATCCTCTGTTCTACCCCCAGCTGAGGGAGGCAGACAGAAGCAGAAGGAGCAGTAGTATGACTTTCGGAGGGCCGGTGGTGAGGGATGCAGCCCCACCTGTCCCGGAGGAGCCCAGGTTGGAAACGGTGGCCCTCTCCGAGTACAGCGGGATGACGTCAAACTGGCCACCTTCATCGCCCTCCTCCTCTGTCTGTGTCAGTTCCTCCTCTTCCTCACTCTCCACCACCTGACAGGGAGGAGACAGTGTTAGTGAAAACTGTTGGGGCATTTGTGCCAGGCACTTTCAAAATTCAAAATTTGTATTACATAATTTTGAATAGAATATAAAGTTTTAAAATTGAACTTGAATGTTAAAATTGAAGATTTTATGCTACGCACATTCAGTAAGTTTGTTAAAAGATGGTAATTCTTATTTTTAGATTACAATTTTGAGTTTGTTTTTTAGACTGATTTGATCAAACTGAATTTGTACTAAATAATCCAGATATGAAATGAACTTTTGTTTTAAAAAATAACAAAGAAAATAATTCATTATATTGATGGTGTGAGACAAATTCATTTCTCTCAAGACAGTGTACTCAAGCACTAAAAACAAACAAACAATAGTTTACAATAGTTTCAAGCAAGACATCTTTCATTTCTTAAACAGATACTTAATTCTATGAAAGCAATAAGTGGTGCATGGTGTGAAGCCATTTTTAGGGCTGGTCAAAGTATTTTTGGGGCCATAGACAGACTTAATTTTCCACCCAACTCAACGTTAAAATCACAGAAGGAAGGAGAATAAACTATCATGATAAAATAAGCAATCAGTAGACTTTTTTGCATGTAATTTGTATTTTGTAATTTGCATGGGAGGTGCATTATGAAGAAAAGCCTTAATTAAAACAAATGACTTCATGGTTTTGATTTCATTGTTTGGCGGCAGACATTTAGTTACCTAATCCTTCGAGCTATGTTATGCTGTTATTTTTATGCAGCCCAGCCCACTATATATTGGCATTATGTTCATACTGGAAATTTGTTAATATTGGACGATTCGATGTGATTTACATGCCAACAATCAGTGCCAATGCAGGATATTCAGTCACAGACATTTGGATCAAGGAATTGACCATTTAGAGCAGATTTTTTTTGGAAAGGCTCTGCTCTTTAAGGGAGCTATCAAAGAACCCAAGCAGCAACAAGGATTCTTTTCCCCTCAACAAACATGTGCATGAACATTACATCTTTTTCAGTTGGATAAATGAGGAATGATAGTTTGCATATAGACTTGTTGATGCGCACTGGACTTTGAAGACAACTTTTTCCACATGCTTTATGTATGTATTATATGTAATATGTATTATATCACCTATATTTACTGTATAGTTTGTGGAACTACAACTAGTCCTGGCATTCATACCAGCAGTTATGGCACGACTATGACTACCTGCCTGTTCAATGTCAGCAATATATTTTGTGCTGCTTCACACATTTCAACATGACAACAAACTTCACAGTTTATATAATTAAAATTTTAATTTTAATAATTAATTTGGATGTTTTTGGTGGCTCCTAGGTGTTCATTATGGTGGCCGACGAGGACAATTGCACTACAACGGCCAAAACATTTCCATTACGGGAAATGCTCTGCAGCTTCAGAAATGCTAATGCTAAATGCTATTTTAGAAACAACACATACGAATACCCAAAGCAAATGTAAGGAAATGTGCTGTGAATGCAAAAAAAGTGCAACAGATAAAAATACATCAACAGCAAAAAAAAAAAAAAAATACAAAGTCAAGAACAAACAAACCTTGAAAACAAGGCAACAGAAATATGCTACACATACAGTCAACACAACCAAAGTTCAGAAGGGGGAGCGCTAAGTGGACCAGCTTTATTTTTGACCTGAGACCAGAATAAAGTGTGTTTGTTTTTTGAACAACATTTGCATTACATTTGCCCTTAATCTTCTGTAATGATTAATAGAGCAACTGATTTTCATAGCTCCCCCTAGAGGCAAGGAGGACGTCTGTTGTGTTGACTGGATATGCAGCATTTTCCTGTTGCACTTGTTTTCAGGGTTTAACTTTGAATAGTTACTGTATTTGCAGAGTGCTTGATGTTACTATTTGTTTTCTGCTTTCTGCAGCAGATCTTTTTCATTTAAAGCACATTTCCTTTGTTACATTTGTTTGGGATTTTTGTATGTGTTTTTGAATTGGCATCTTTTCTGAAGCTGCAGCACATTTCTCCTAGTGGAAATGTTGTGGCCACTGTGGCGCATCTACCCTTGTAGGCTACCGCAGTTAATTTGGCTTTCAAAGACCCAACATATTTTACACACTGAGGGCATTTATAGAGAGAAATATGTTATAATAGCAGTGCTATACGCCTGCAAGTATGATTTGATGTTACTAGTCAGCTGGTGGCCAAGCATCTGATGAGATCTTCTGACCACTGATGCTGAAGCATGAATGAAGCAGCTAATGAAAATCAGCAAATGCAAGCTGGATGACTTTAGTGCTCTGTCTAAACTGATGCTATAGTCCATTAGGCACTTTATCTAGCAATGCAAAAGAGAGGGGGATCGTCATGTGTTGCATGTCTGACTTTAATGCAGTTTAGTGGAATTCTTTCTACCTGAAGACCAACCATGATGAGCCCTTTTTCAAACAATAACCATTATATTTCTTTAATCTTAGTCAATGTATCCTTATGCAATTGTTTGTCTGGTTAGGTTAGGTTTAGGAAAAGAATCATGGCTGATGTTATGTACGTATGTTGACTTTTGGTTCCACACGGAACACGAATCCTGGTCTCTTAGGTCAAAGTCCTATGTATTTTTTGATCTGTCCACCTCCTTCCTTCAGGAACTTTGCTGCTCTTCATACTGTGTGATCTGACTTCCTCCTCTGCTCCCGTCATATAAGGGATGACAGCCTGTAGTGCATAGTTCACTAATCAAAGCCTCCTGGCTCACTATTGCATGGGTTATGTACAAATTATAGTGCAATACTTTTCATAGGTATAAGTATGAAGACTGACCTCGCAAATAGCACAACATCAGACAGTTCAGCAAAATGACAAAATGACACCTGTTTACATTCAAGTGACAGCATCCTCTTGCGCCGTGGTGATTATGATGGGAGCAGAGAAGGAAGTAAGGTGACGTTGTTTTAGACTGTAGGATCCAAACTATGAAGTTGATTTTGTGTCAGACCTAACCAAATCTTAACCATAGCACTGTCACAACAGAAAACAGATACATTTTTCAGCAGTGATTTGAAACAGTTTTCAAGGCCGATTAGAAAATGCTTCTTGTATCCTTCTAAAGGGCAGTTACAAACAATGTTTTTTTTCCTTGAGTTTGTTGTGTAGCTGCCATGTGCAGATATTAGAAAGAACTCATTTTAATTATAGGCTTGAATTTTCCAAACATCACTGAATCAATGATCTGTCTGGAAACAGGGTGAGGTCTGAGACAACTTATTCTGAAACTGAAGACCTGAATTTGTAATGCAATGTTGCAAACCAGATGATACTGATATTGACATTGTTGGCAGACATTTCGCTTGCAGACGCACACCAACACACATAGAATACAGATCACTGATCAATACCTGCTTGAACAAAGAACTACCAGTAGAAATCTTAGAAATCATAGTTTTTAAAACATGTAAGTGTGTAATCATACATTTTCTTAGAATCACGGTTGACATTACATTGTTGCTTTTCTATTAAACATGATGTCAAATGTGTCATGTCTGTCCATGAGCACTTTGAAGTTGAGTCTTTATTTAAAACTTTAAAGCTGTTGATGAATATGATTTACTGCAGAGTTATGGGTGTTGACGCCAAGCTGTTCTGCTTCAATGATATGCACCAACATCTGGAGGAGCCCAAGGCCCGCGCTAGGTTATTGTGTGCAGATTGTTCTTCTACTGATAATAATACGGCACTCTATCATTTCATTGAAATACTGCCTCTGATACCTGCTCGTTTCATGGCATTCCGATTTTTCTGACTCATTTGTAACTTTTCATCATCGAGTCTGACAGTTGCAGAAGCTGTAAACACGGCAGTTGTCTTGCTCTCCTTCAGGGTAGAAATGGATTATGGGTAGGCTCTCCTTACTTTCGTGATGTGAAAATAATTTTGTTCATTAGTGGTGAAATAGATTCCAGTATGTATTGTGTACAGTGTTAAACATTCATTTAAAATGTGATGATAAAAATATTAGCCTGACCAGCATGAAGAGCACCTTCTTTCAACTGTACTCCAGTCTGCAGTTATTCTTAGTCACTATCTTGTACTTAGAGTCTTATGACCTTTCCTTTGATCTGCTGCTTTTATAACGCATTGGTGGGAGGACAGAAAAAGCCCGAAGAACATTGTTAATATCTCTTTGAAGATAATTGGAGTGAAGAAGACAGATTGGGTTCTTTTTTGGACCAGCAAATGTCCAGGGAACATATACTTATTATATACAGTGTTGCAACGGCATGTAGGGAGTTGTCATGTTCAGTTGCTATAGTAAAAATAAATATATTTGTTACAGCATTTTGTTGTCAGCCCCGTTTACATTTTTTCTGTACCTGGATATCTCATTGTACACTGTAATCCCCACTTCGCTCACATTTTTTGGGGAATTTCTTTTTGGTTTAGATAATACAGTAACATGATAGGATTTTTTTTGAGCATTTGATTCTATGTGATATGAACATAAAAATCTTGAGTACAAATTTTTCAACATTTTTGTTGAATTTCATTTAACTACAAAAATATGTTGTGCTAAGCAAGGGTTTCTTGATTGTGAGAATAAGGCAAAGAGATGAATTCTGAACAAGGAAATGCTCTTTATTTCTCCTCAGCACAACTCTGTGGTAGACACTCTAATAAGTACACAGGCAGGAGGTCACTGGCTGTGTATACTACTTAATTCATGGTGCAAAATGTCTTTTACCACAACATTAACTGTAACCCATTAGAACCATTGTGAAATACATAAACATTAATCACTGCATAATGGGTAACGTGAGTGATTAAGAACAGAGTTAAGTACAGCTTTTTTCGGCTTACGGCCTTAAACACATTGTTTCCCGGCATGCTGGGAAACTCCACCCATTTTTTCCTCAACATGCCCTAGTATGTTAAGTGCACATTGATTAGTGTTGTTTATTTTTTTTATAACTTTATAACTTAAATCAAATAACTCAAACATTTTTGTCTTAACATGAA